CGATTGTATCGATTCTAGGATCTGAGCGCCCGCAGGCCTGTGTGCCTAAACTCTCGGGACCTTCTCTCCCTCTCGATGCATGCTCTGGCTTGTAACAGAATTTAATTAAGGGGAAACAGAATACACTTTCCAACTATTTTCAGAACCTGGATAAACCACGGCATGATTCTTTCATCTTTCTGTAATGAAAAGAGCACTTGCAAGTTGCAACACAACAGTACATTATAACAGGTAAATGGGACGTTTACTCATTTTTGCAAAATAAGGGCAGTTAACTAAAACAGAACTTCAAGGGTTGGTATTTACCGTCGCTACAACATTAGACAAAAGTTGTTCTTGTATAAGATGGGTTCTCGGTCGCAACTGAACATTAAGCACTGTGATAGTTTGACAACAGATAGGGAAGTTGCTGAACTATAATAATTGAGGCAAAGATCCCAACTAGCTAGCTAGCAACTGAAAGTCTGCACAAGAAACCTTAATGGCAGGTCTACCTTTTAGGAACTTCTATAGGGCTCATGACTCTTGCATGTTCAAGATCGGTTCTTGTATGCTGCAGTGAATCTAGTGACTGCAACTGTGCTTGCATTGCTTTCTTGAATTGTGTGTTGCAGCTTCTACTGAACCAGGAAGCTATTAAAACTTTTTTTTCTCAAACCATGCAAGAGAGCTGCATGTATTTACAACGCCAAAGAATGGCACCACAGCGATTCAAAGCCAAAGATGGCACAACGTGAAAGCGAAACAACAAAATTAAACAACGACGACCGACATAACGGTCTCCTAAAAATCAAAATGACATATGAAAGAATGAGATAGGGCGACTCGATTAGTCCATCATCTGTGTCATTCCACTATCAATTATAACAAGAAAATACAATGTTTATTCCAATACGAAACAAAAAATTACTCCGTGTTCCACTATCAATGATATCGGAACATCAAGAATCTAAAAGCTGCCAAGAACTGAAAGAGGAAAAACAAAAGGACGGAAAGACATCACACGCAGATGCTGTGCTTGTTGCAAGTTGCCAATAAAATGCTTTAGAAGATCCATTGCAAGACTGTACCCAAACTGAAAGTATCCAAAAAGGATTATAGTAATAGAGGTTGTGGTGTATCATTAATCAAACGATTACTTCTGCGAATAAGAATTTTTCCAGATTCAGAAGGACAACAAACATGCCAGTAGTCCAGAGATCTCAGCCGCTAGCCGTATCTGCTCTTCCCCCGCAGCGGCCAGCCCATTCACCACATGGTCTCACTGAATTCCTCGTCACAGAGGACCACATCGCCTTGGAGTAAATAGCATAAAACTACTACTTTAAAGTTTAGGGTTCCAAAAAACGGGTGGTCGGCTGTTTCAAAAAACCCAAATCCTCGAGTCTTTATCAGTTGATCATGATTATGACAGTTCAGGCCCACATGTAAGATAACTATTTGTTTGACCGTTAACTTACATGTGGGTTCCACATGTAAGTTTTTAAAAAAGCATCCAAATCATGTAAGTTTTCTGAAAAAAGCAATCAGGTCCTTGTGACTTTTCTGAAAAAGCAATCGGGTCCCCATGGCAGCCAACAGCTCAATCCCGCTCGGCAGGGCAGCGATGCTTCCTGAGCCATGCCTACAGTGGCAGAATCCATGCCGTGCACCACCCGAGGCCGGCCAGCTGTGCCCCCAGCGGCTGGATCCACGCCGGTCATCGCCTGAGGCCGGCGAGCCGCGCCCACCGCAGTCGCCATGTCGTGCCTCGCCGTGCCTCGCCCGCGGCCACGCCATGACTTGCGAGTCGCCTGCCGCCACACGCGCCTTGCCTACGGCCGGCCCATCCCCTGTCGCGAGCTCCTCAAGCTTGACACGATGGCTTACGCCGCTGGTGGAGTGGGCACCTCCCGTTGCCGCGGACGAGGCCGACCTCGTCGCCACCGTCGCCACCAGGAGCTCCGACAAGCACCTACCACGACTGTTGGGACACTGGGAAGGAGAGGGAGGGTCGTCGCCGGCTTGGGATGGGGAGATGGGCGCCGGCTTGGGGGGAGGGGGGAAGGATCGCCGGCTTGGGAGGGGAGGGGGGTCGCCGGCTCGGGAGGGGAGAGGGCCGGCACAGGAGGCACAGAAGAGGGAAGAGAGGAGATAAAAAGGAAGAAGAAAGAGAAGAGGAAGATTACATGTGGGCTCCACATGTAAGTTAACGGTCAAATTAAGGTCAAACTAACGGTTTGTTTCGGTACGGGCCCAACCTGTCATAATCGTGATCAACTGATAAAGACTCGAGGATTTGGGTTTTTTGAGACAGTCAACCACCCATTTGGTAGTTATCTGAGAAAAATTAAAAACCGGTAGTTTTTTGGAACCCTAGCCTATAAAATAGTAGTTTTATGCTATTTACTCCATCGCCTTGCCACAGCACAGACGAATGAGGAACATACACGAGGAAAACGCAACAGGAAACCAGAAAAATCCCCTGCTGCATCATGTGTATCTAACGAAGTTTCAGTTTCTCCGATGACATTGGTACCTGAACAAAGATGCCAAAAAATGCAGGTTTGTGCACGGTCGAAGCAAAAAAGAATCATGGATGGACAGGTGGGTAATTAATATTCACCCCGGTCCAGTCCACTTGCATTGCATCCCTAGATGATAGTGGTGTGTGCTGCCCAAAACTATCATGACCCGATCGTTGGATGGATCGAGGATGCACAAATCAGCTCAGTATTTTGATAGATTTGGGATAATTTGGGAGAATTGAGGTGAGGAATCAGAGAAGGGGGTGAGGACCAGAAGAACACGAGATGGGATTCAGAACATTCATTCATTCGCTACCCTCCTCCTGTGCTTCCTCTGCTGTATAGCCTTGACTCCATGCGACTTCCATGTGGGACTGGGACTAGCATCAAAGAGATGGCCCACCACCCAGCTGTGCTTACTAGTGGATAGGTCGGGCATGACAAAAACCACGTCCATGTCTCAATGGTGGCTGTCGAGCATCTCGCATGCACGCAATTCCAAATGGGACCTGGAAAATCGACATTTGTACGGTGGCCAGTGCATCAACGACTGATCGCAGACTGGACACTACTGCAATTCATGCTTTAAGCAGACTGGACACTACTGCACACCATCAACTCTCAAAGAGCACAAGATGTGCACAGAGACAAATCACACTGTACCAAAACGACCCCATATACGAAACCAGCTCTTCGCTACAGTCTCACTAATACAACCATCAGCCAAGGACCAATTTACTTCCATCTCTAAACTACAGGTAAGACTCCGGTCAGACTAGTAACAAGAACGCTGCATCTCACTGATCACCAGGTGGACGGATCCGCAGAACAAGGGTGCACGAATGACAGATCTCCTCGCCCAGGGGGGCGCCGCCCTGGTCAGAGAGTTGCTGCTGCTCCGGGAGAATGCCCACCTGATAGTATATCCATGCTTTGATGTCGTCAATTGTCTGTGATTGCATAAACGCATGTTCAAAGATTTTCTTCCCAGTAACCGTCCTGACAAAGATGCGGATAAGGCGGAACACAAGATAAATGGTAGCCTCATTGTGCACGTTGTAGTCAGCCAAGGTGCGGCTGTCCTCCATCACGTTCCCAGCAAAGATGAGATGCTGCCTGCCTGGGGGAACACCAGTTTCATTGAAAACCTTTACCTTCACACTGTATATGCTATCTTCTCCCTCAACCTCAGTAGCCATGATCTTGTCAGTCAGTGTCCTGACCATGACGTGCATTCGACCGCCCTGACACTTGGGGAAGCGCACCACAAGATAAAGGATAGATCCATTGTACATGTTGTAGTCAGCCAAGGTGCAGCCATCCTCCAGCGCCTTCCCAGCAAAGATGAGACACTGTCTGCCTGGGGGAATGCAAGTTTCATCGAAAATCTTTGCCTTCACATTGTATATGCTATCTTCTCTGCAAACCTCAAATTTCATGATTGTGTTAACCAGTGTCCTGACAAAGACATGCATCCCTCGGGGGGCAAACTCAAGGATGAGGGTAGACTCCTCCACGATGTTGTAGTCCTTCAGCGTACAGCTGCCCACCAGCAGCTTACTGCCAAATATGAGTCTCTGCTTGCGTGCAGGGATGCCCTCCTTGTCTTGAATCTTATCCTTGACATCGAAGATCGTATGTGATCCCGTGAGCTCAAGACTGACAGTCTTTAAACAGTGGATCTTTCTTTTTTTGCGAAAATATGAAAAGTTGATCTTGACAAAGATCTGCATCTGTTGAACGAGTGCACAAAACATTAGTATCTTAGATAAAAAGGCTTTCAGTAAAGACACCAAACGGTAAATGAAAAGAACAGTAACAATTCCAACAGATAGAAGAACTAAAAACAGAAATCTGCACATTGACCACAATAAATCATCAGGTTCCATGGTGATAACAGTTGGTGTTGCATGGGGTAATACATCCTGTGAAGATCAGAAGGACTAGAAAATGAGCAATAAATATGAACCCCAGGACTGTTTGGGCTATGTTGTTAGTTCTTCATAGATGTATAACATTTTTGTTGTTGTTGAGAAAATCAAGTATCTTACACAAAGTTGACAGATATTGTGATACAGACATAATAATACTCAAGCATCCTACAGATTAGTCATTTTCCTTCTTTCAAATAATATGAATCAAACGAGAACAAAGTCCATCTAACCAGTCCTAAGGTCTGACAGATCATATGAGATCAGCCCCATATGTGATGCATCGCCCCTCCAAATTAATCCACAGATTGTAAATATATACATTCAAGATCACACGATATACGTTGGGTATAGAGTGGATAGACCCTACTAGAGATTGAGGAGTATTTAACCAAAAACTACCACAATTCATGGAAACGTGCCCAGAAACTACCACTTTACAAATTTGTGCCAAAAACTACCACTTTTTGCCTAATCTTTGACTAAAAACTACCATGTCGCGAAAGTGCCCGATTCGCCTCTTCTAAACGCCTTTCTGACAGGTGGGACCCACACGTCATCACCAACCTTCTTCTTCCTCCCCTCCTTTCTTTCTTTGGCATTTCAACAAGGGAAACGTTTGCAATCGGTCAGCCGGCCGAAACTGGGCCGGTCTCCTCCTCGCACACTGCACGCCCACATGGACCCACGTGACCGCTTGCCCACCGCATCCATAGGAACCTTATCCCTTCCCCGGCCCCACGCGAGACCTGTCCAGTTCCTCCCT